GGACAGACTGATAATGGGTTATCTCTATTAAATCCCTCGCAATTTACTCATGAATTATTTCAGCCTTTATATTTTAATGATATTCATCGTACTAATTCCACTGAATATACAGTACATCGAGTTTAAAATCGGTCTCTACTTTTTTCCTTAATTTCATTGTATTTATTATGCCTTTAATCAAATTATCACTGATATGCCTAAATTTCCTAATAGCCTTTACTGTTAAGAAAATTTTTATGGCAAATTATTGATATGTATTAAATGAAATAAAATATTTCGGATAAAATAACTTTGAAAAAACATCATTTAGAGTAAGTAAAGCAATATCCGTCATCATTTTTTAAAATTCATTCATCATATCATCTACTATTATGAAAATAGAATTCTTAATGTAACTAAGAATCTCCAAAAAAGGTAATGATTCACAATGGTCGACTAAAATATGTGCTTTTTTTTAATTTTGAAGCATTATTATGATAATAGTATTATGATAAACAACTATTCCCATTATCATTCACTCCCGTTTCATTTTGCTTTTCCAAAAAATTCAATTCTTTTCAATAGCATTAATTTTTTATAAATCTACAGTATACTAAAGTCCTCACCATTACTGGTTAAACTCATTCTGCTAGCTTGTCGTACTAGTCAGATATACCAGAGAGTCCTTTGGTGATAGAAGTACAGAGGTGAGTAGCCAGTATCGACCGGATTTTTGAATAGGTTTACTCCTGCGGGAATAGAACCTCAGCATCGCGCTTCCAATTGAGCAACAATCCAATTAGTCATTTTACCCTCTACTTGAAAGTATACTTATTATTAGCACTGCACTGGTAATGAAAATTTATCGAGATTTATTCTATTTTATTCTTCACTCATCCTTCACTATATAAAGTGTGCATTCTATTTCTCTTTGTTTATTAGCCGAATTGACTTCTTTATTGGAATCATGAAAATTCTGGCTTTTTTTTGATTCCTTCTGAAATCAAGTATAAAGGATGAAAATTCAAGAATTCCATTGATAGAACTATTTGTGCTATATAATTTTTCCTAAAAAATTATTCTTTTCATCGTTAATGCAGATTTAAAAATATTATTCGCGAATAATATCTGAATAGCACTGATCTTACGTTTGTTTCTTAGACAACTCGTTTTATCTTTATTTAATTATAATTTATAATATAAAATATTTCAATTATAAAAATTATATTAAAAAGTTGTTAATAGTTTATTACTTTTATAAGAAATATATTCTTTTGAAGTTTTCATGATAAATAATTAAATAATATTTAGTGAAAGTGATTCTTAATGGCAAATTATTAAACCATTTCAAAATTTTATTGTAGCAAATTTATTTAAATAGAAAAATCTAGTACACAATTCTAAAAATTTATATAAGCTAATTATATAAACTAATTAAATTTATAGTAAAAATTTAGTCCTTCTTTATGTTATTTTCATACATCAATCATAAATATTTTAAAACATCTCATCGGTTCTAACAATTCTCAATTTAATTTTCATAATCCCCTTTGTTCTTTGCACATGTTTCATCAACTTTGCGGCTGCCTTTGATTCAATTGATAGAGCGGCGCTTTGGAGTGTGATGGAACGCAACGGTGTTCCAGAGAAGATCATTCGATTTATAAAGGTATTTTGTGAGCATACGTCGGCGCAGGTCTGTATGTATGGGGAACTGACAGACTCCTTCGAAATAGGAACTGGGGTCCGTCGGAGCTGCATCTTTTCCCCTAAAATATTCAACTTTACGATAGACTGGATAATGGGCTCCTCTCGTCGTCACTCAAGATCAGTTCAGAGCATCGTATCATAAATCTTGAATATGCCGATGATGTAATCCTTTTTACTGACAGTTATGACGAAATGCAAATGCTAAAGAGCGTGCCAGCGATTGCAGCAAGAATCGGACACATAGTCAATGTAAATAAAACAAAAGCATTTTCGACTCATGTGCAAGAAGCTGATAAAATACCTCTTTTTGTAAATTCGTTACCGATTGAGGAAGTGCCTGATTTCCAATACCTTAAGGCCACTTTATTACCAAATGGACAGGCAAAAGATGACAACCCTGATCAACGCAGCTAGAAATGCTTCCGGATGACGAAACCTTTATGGAGTCGTCGTGAAATCACCATAAAAACGAAGGTCCGCATCTATATAGCCGAGATTCATTCCATCTTGCTATATTGTTCTAAGACAAATAGGCAATGAGAGTGGAGGGTGTTAAGAAGTTATCTGCCTTTGACCACTCTTGTCTAAAGCATATAATACGGATCCATCGAGCGGATAAAATATCACATGATCGCACCCACCTTCGTTCAAATACCACTTGCATAAATAATGTTCAACAGAGCCTTCGCTGGTCAGAATATCTTCTCCGTCGTTCACCACAGGAGCTGATGCATATTTCGTTATTTGCTGAACCGTGTGATGGTTGGCGTCAAAAGTGAGGTGGGCTAATCAAGACCTGGTACGGTCAGAAAAGATTTTGAACGTATAGGTGGACCAGCAATATATGGACTTGGACGATGGAAAAAGGAATGGCTTCCATTACTTTCGACAATAGACGGCGCCGCTTGGAAGCGTCTTACCCTTGTAACCGTTGGAACCAGCTTAACCAGTAATGGTGAGGGCTGTAAGAAGAAAGAAGAAGAATCTCTTTTTTTCGTTATGGTTCTTATTGCTTGAACTGCATTGGAAAAATTTTTCGAATTCAGCAGTTCAGATTATTCAGCAGTTAGAAATATAATGAATTAAAATGAATGGTGATAGCCATTATTGGCTTCAAAAAAATAATCATTAAAAAATCCAGAATATATTCGATCGCTTTTTTTTCAGTTGAAATTTTAGAAAGAAATTTTTTAGAAATTTATATTTGCTCATCTCTCTTGTAAAAGCGTATTTTGTTGCTTATATATATAAAAAAATATATATATTAAGTAAAATTTATTTTCACAGTTACAATTTCGTTTCGAAAGATAATTGGATTTTTGATTACCAAATTAGAAATGAGTCGATGCTAAAAATTATGGTTATTTCTCGCTGAATGAGAATTTTACCATAATTCTACTTTCTCAGAAAGTGAAAAAAATTTCTTAATACTTTATCATATAAGCATTGAAACTTGTGATTTCCTTAAAAAACGATGGATTAGAGACGAAATGAAATGAAGAGAATTGCCATCTTATTCTTCGAATTTCAAAAAAAATTTTTAGAAAAATTGAAAAATAATGAAATTCTACAAACTTCTACAAAATCTCTTTTAAAAAAAAATAAATAGAATGATATTTGCATTTGTTTCAGTTCTTTAAAACTCATGAAAAAAATTTTAAAATTTTTGGAAAATATAGATAATGTTTCGAAAAAGATTGGATATATATTACTTGGCTATTCCGGATGAAAATTAAAATATGTCCTCAATAAAAATCTTTAGTTAACTGAATCCAGCCTGTTGGCCATAAATTGGTCATAGGACTATATTTAACTATGATGCATATCTTATCCTATTTTAGCTAAAATTTCAACACCTGAATGAATAAGTGTAAAAAACATGAACTTCATCCAAACATTTTCTATTAAGCGATTTCAAGGCGTAAAACGAATTGCGGCATCCTAAAATTGCTAAAAGACCTTTCAAATTGCGCTACGAATTTAAACCAATTCTTCCAAAGTTAACGTTTATCATCTAATAGGCAAGTACAGCGATTGCCAATATTGAATCTCTTCTATCTTATGATAAAAATAAATTTATCTTTGATAGCTAGTGATAACCGAGAATTAAAAGCATTTCCTAGAAAAAAAATCGATTTTATTTTCTAAATTTTCTAAAATATTTATTTCACTAGAAAAGGCAGTTTGCTTACGATTTTCATCGAAATTTAATTCATTTTAAAGTGGCAGTTATTGGATGCATAATTTAATATTTTAGTAAACCGATAGTCCATTGAGAGTCATTCAATTTCGGTTAGTTTTCCGAAAATTTCGGCTAAAAGATAGGTCATATCATATAATAAGTAATTAAGAATCTCAGCAGTTTTCTAATAAGAAAATAGTAAAATCAATTTGATCTTATTAGAGTATTTAGCAAATTGGTTAATAAATAACCAATTTAGTTGACTTTTAGCAATAGAACTGTAGGTTATCGAGAGGAAAAAGTCCAGAATTGACGGTATGAAAAGTGCAAAAAACCACTGAGCAATTCCACTCTTAGCCATAAAATTATAAAATTAGCAAAAAATTATTCCAACAGCTGAATTGACTTTGAATTTGGAGAAAGAATTTTTCTTCAACCGACCAATCTTTTTTGCAAAAACTGTTCAAATAATAATAATATACAAGACTTTCAGTTTCATTTCCATTTAACCATTTCCATAACTGTCGTATGTTTTTTGATATTATTATACTGCTCAATCTTTTTACTTTGGTATTCTCTGCAAATGAAGAGAAAGAATCCGTCAATATAGGGCTCGTCTACCAGGTAACTTGAAAATTTTCCATTTCTCTCGAATTCTTTTTCAAATTACATTAACCGACTATTTTTGAAATATCTTTTCTTCGGTCGTCAAACTTTTCGAAGGAAATTTGATCTTCTAAACGTGTCGTTCTGGCATTCCATGTTTCATGCTGCATATATAAAATGTATTGCATTATTATATAAAAGAATGATTTACTTCGTAACCATTAATTTATTCCATAAAATATAGATAAATAGTTACGATAGATGAGAGGCTTTTGTTAAAAAATCTTGTTCCTTCTAGTTTTTTCAGTAGCATATGTGAAAAATTGTTGCTCATGGCAAATACCAAATGATGTGACTTGATTCTACTGCCGCGTTAATTCCATGGATCGAAAACATAGTCCCAAATGCAAAAATGCATGCAGTATATATCCATGCAATAAAATGCCTGCTGGATATGAATCAGATCGAGAATAATTTTACAATTTTTTTATTTATTTCACCATTTTAGAACTATGCACGATCAAAAGCATACGACAAAGCGTTTAAGGAAAGTCTTCGCAATATTAACGCTGGTCAATCGATCTCGTAAACCTATTCGTTACAATTATTAATTTTTTAATCCAATTTTTTGCTTTAACTGTTCTTAAGCTGGCAAATCGTAACTATTATTGAAATAATTTTGTATACAAAATAAAAAATAAATTAAATAAAATTTATCACCTTAAATCTTGCACATTCTAAGCGTTTATTGATTAATAGAAATTTTATAAAAAAAAATAATTTTTTTTCTTGCATTTACCATTTAAAATATTCTTATAATTCGATTTTTAGAAACAAAATTTCGTAAAAAAAATTAATTCTTTTTTTTTGCATTTGTATTTATCAGTTAAATTAAATTTGTATATATTTGTACATATTCGTTTTAAAAAATTTTTATTAAATTGTCAGAATTTAAAAATTTTTTTATTTATCCTTTCAATAATTTTCCTGAAATTATTAAATTATTTTAGGCAAATGCGTAGAATTGCATCAAAATATAACCTTAATCCAGTGGACTGCATACTTCCAAGAGGAACGTTCTATCCATCGCATGTACTCGATTGTTTTTGCAATAAGCTCATTAAAGAAAAGGTTATTTTAATTTGTGTTATTAATGGAAAAAAAGCCCCTTTTTTCCAAGAAATCTTTAAAAGGAACTAAAAAAGCGGTCAGACTTCAAACAATTTACCAGAAATATAAGTAAAATAAGCGACTAGCATTCATCATTATCATTATTTCTGATTTTCTGATTATCTCCAGTTATACTCTATTAAGAGAGCAATTTTTGATATACCATCATTTAACAGATAAAAGTAAAAGTGGGCTCTGCGTATTACCCAAATTTTTAAATTTCTTTAGCTTCGATCATTTCGGCTACCTATAGAGAAATATTATCTTGTAAAATAAAATATTTTACAAAATCCATTGAAGAAAAGGAATAAGATCATATTTGTTTAGTTTATAGTAATTAGTTAATTACTTATTGTTGCCATTCATATTTCAACTCATTTAATCACAGTTAATTCGTTTTAAAGGTGGTCTTGATTGTATTTGTGACTGCTTCTGAATCTTTCGATCATGTAACATCAGCCATCCAATATTTTCTAAGTATAGCATCTCAAACTGGCATTCCTATAATTGCGTGGAATGCTGATAATGCTGGATTCACATATATAAAGGTTGTTTTTAAATGCACATAAAGATAGTAGTTTCAGTAGTTTTGCCAAAGCAGCAGCAGATTTGTCAAAAATAGCTCTCTTTCTCTCAGTATAGTGAAAATACCTCGTCAAAAAAACCATGAGAAAACATGCACAAGGCTAAAGATCCGGAGTTCCAGCAAAATGCCGAAAACTAGTGAAATACTTTAATAATCTTTGTTTCAGTTAAATCTGAGAGAATATCGGCAAATTTAATTCCTAGGACCTATGCTATTAATTTATGACTTGCAATAGTTAAGCATTTAAACATAGTTGCAAAGTTTTTAACTGAATTGATAGATTTTTGTATCACTTGTGAAATTAAGCACTTTGAAAACCTAGAATCTTTTTTAAGATAATAACAATTTGATTCAGTCACATAGTTCTAAATTTAAAAATTTCTACAAATATTATAAATGATATAATCTTATAAATTAGCAGCATAAACTGTAGGATTTGTCGAAGTACAGAATGCTTCAAATGGCCCCACCAATCGAGCATCAAATACGTGCGATGATTGCAATCTTAAAGCGTTATAATTGGTCAAATTTTGGCGTGGTTACATCAAAAATTGCTGGATCATTCAATTTTTTACAACTCGTGCAAGAAGCAGTCGATGAAAATAATGATCGATCTTTTAAGTATTCATTTATTCCTTTAAACTAAAAGTGTTTTAAAGGAATGAATCGGGTATCAGATTATATTTTAACTAATCGCTCACTATTACAACTGATTTGCGAGGTTAATATTATTGGATGAAAATGTTTTACCAAACCATTTTTCGAGATTTTTATAAAATAAAGGAGTTGAGATGAAAAGACTCTGGCATATTTACAAAAAAAAGCAGCTGATAAAAAAGCTGTGTGATAAAAAAGGCTTTTTATTTAGAAAATAAGGATTTTGCTAAGGTTTTTTTGCTAAGAAATTTGAAAGCAGCAAAAATTTTTTTTCCTGTATTTCCTACAAATTTTATTATGGTTTCACCTGTATAAATTTAGATTAAGAGTTGTACATCATGAAGAAATCGATGACGATGAAGGAACTGAGCATATCGAACAAAGGCTTGATGCTTTGAAAAAGTCTGAGGCTCATATATTTCTATTGTATAGTACAGCTAATGCAGCCAGAAAGATTTTCCAAGTATTTTTTTTAACACATATGAATGTAGGTTTTAAGAATATTAAAAGGAATATTGGGAAATATCTTTTATTTCCAAGTAAAGTGAAAATTCAGTTTGGCTGATTCAAGACAAGTAAATTCAAATAGCTGCTGTTTAAAGAAGGTATCATTTGTATTTAAATTAGAACTCTTCAGGTTGCTAACAACTCTGGTATGTTGGGTGAAAAATACTTGTGGATTGGAACACAGTCAGTGAAAGGGTCGATGACTAGTGTTAGTCCACCATTTCAACCTGGCATGTTATCAGTAAATTTCCACACAGTGTCGAATGCAATGTTCCCTCCTGTGGATGATGTATTGCCGTTGATCATTGGAACTGCTCCAAAGGTTTTGCGTAATCAATGTGTTTATCTTAAGGATTAAAGAATGAAACAGGATTTTTCAAGAACTTCAGATACATCCATTACTTCCACGAGTGTCCTTGGCCGGATTTTTTTACTCATCTCATGACTTATGTCTGGTTTTTCTTCATTCTGGCAGGTTTTTTTTCCCTATTTGACAAAATGCGGCTTGGAATAGAATCGCTGAGAAAAATATACAAATATGAATATGAAATATACAATATAAATAGAGTCGCTCGTGGCACAATTATTGCACTTATTTTATTTATACCAAACCAATTCGATCCATTATTTTTACAGCACCACACTTATAGGATAGGTCCGTAACGTATAAATAACTATACAATGGGTTTTTAGAACAAATGTTTTTTAGATTTTTGGCTTAGCGCTTAGTAAACTTCGCCCAAATGAATCATTTACCATGCAATCTACGTCATCGTGCGAAAACGATGCCAATAGTACTTCATGGCGTGAAGGAGAAATTATTTATAGGTAAAATAATAGATTTTATTATTTTATTATTTTTTCAAATCTAAATTTAAATATTTCAATTATTTTCGAAGTAATTATAAATTTAATTATTTCTATACTTCAAGAGAATGATTGAAGAAAGTTTTTGTCTTTCTTCACATAATTTTTCGACCATAATAGATAATGGCTTTCCAGACGCATGAAGGAAACATTCGTAAAAGGAAATCCTTATCACACAAAAGACGGATTAGATTCATTTTTCTATATGTTTAATGAATATGGTAAACTAAAGGATTCTTATTTGACGATATCGAACTTACGCACTAAACGCAATAAAGATTCAAGGAATGAGAATTTGATCTGGGATAAGGTATTATTTAAAATATTTCATATATAATATAATGTATTTTATATAATATATTATATAATATAATATATTATATATTTTGAATAATGTAACACTTGAATTTATGCATATAATTTCTGATTTATTCCGAAATATACTTCCATTTTTACTTTTATTTTATTCAGGTCGGAGAATTTACAAATAATGAATTAAGGATAGCAGATATCGAATGGCCAGGTGGAAAGGCGAATCCGCCTCAAGGCACTGCTGATATTTTTCATGTAAAAGTTGTAACGCTTCATGAGCCTCCGTTCATTATCGTATCTGATTTGGATCCTGAAACTGGTACATGCCCCGGTAATCAAGGAACAATATGTGATTGGGGTATTGTTGGACTTGAAAGTGGTGGAATTATAAGGTACATAAAATATTTAGATTTAGTTAAAATGAAATAACATTTTTATTGCCTAAATTTTTCTGAATAGTTAGAGAAGCAAATGCTAGGAAGAGACTCGCTGGCGATTTAGATCTTCTCCAATTTCAATCTATTCTTTTGCTATTTTTAATAAGGGTTATTTGACAGATTGGCATTATCTTACCTAAACGAGCACCAATTTCTATTTTCTGTCCACAAGCCCATAAAAATTTTAGCAATCGAACCTTATACAAATGTTGTTCTGGATACTGCGTTGATTTACTCGAAAAACTTGCAAAGGATATCGGATTTACCTACACTTTATATAAAGTAAGGGACGAAAAATGGGGAATCAAAACGGTTACTTTCAATTTTTTTAATAGAGCTTAGAATGAAATAAAATTGTGATCGCAGAAATTGTACTTGGACTAGAGTTTTCAGTTGACAACGATCATTAGATATATTTATTTGTAATTTATGTGGTAACCTATTTTTAAACCAATTTTTAGGAAAAAGGATGGAACGGTTTGATTCAAGACCTAATTCTACATCGAGCAGATATGTGTGTTACATCATTAAAGCTGAATTCCGAGCGAGCAAAAGACATAGATTTTTCCATTCCATTTTTAGAAACCGGAATCACTATTATTGTCAAAATTCGTAGTGGAGTACTTTCACCTACCGCATTTTTAGGTAAAAATCATGCATTTCCGTCTCTTGAAATTCTCTTTAATTTCGTTAATAACGCTTTTCTTGTTAAAAAAAAAAAATTAGTAAAATCGCATAATTTCAGAACCTTTTGAATATTCAACGTGGGCAATTATATTATTTGTTTCGATCCAAGGATCAGCGCTAGCCATATTTGTTTTTGAATGGGTCAGTCCATACAGCTTTAATATGAAAAAATATCCTCCACCAGGTGTGTTTTTGGTTCTTTCTATTGTTATGACGGTGTTTTTAGCTATTTTTTTATTTAATTATAACATTTTTCTTTAATTATTTACAGAAATTTAGTTATTTAAAGAAATCTAAAATAAGTTTGGTTCCATAGAATTAGATAGTTTACTTAATATATCAGTTATATAATTTTGCATTCAATTGCATTCAATTTAAATTTCAAGAGCATAAATTTTCGTTGTGCAGATCTTATTGGCTTGTCTGGGCTACTTTGTTCAGTGCTAGCGTTTCTACAGGTAAATAGTTTATCATTACAATTTTAGACTTTCTTTTTGTTAACTCACTACCAAACTACGTTAAATAATATACAACTTATGTACAAATTTAGATGTTCCGCGATCAACTGTCAGTAGAATTATGGCACTGGTTTGGGCCGCTTTTGGGCTGACTTTTTTAGCTGTTTATACTGCAAATTTGGCAGCCTTTATGATCACTCGTGTTCAATATTACGAACTCAGTGGAATTCATGATGAAAGGGTACGATAATATCTTATGTAGCGATGGCTATAATGAAGCGTAAGCAGAAATATCGCATTGATAACAATTCATTTTTTCCAACAAATTTTCTCTTTGGCGACTGTTACAACTCATTTAACCACAGTCAGAGAGTCATTTAGCGAGAGAAGAACAGTTTTATTGTCAACATCATGCGGATTTTTAAGAGAAAGGTTCAGTGAGTGGGTCTCCAACATCTCTAAAACGAGAGCAGCCATGCAGCGAGTCGTTCTATCTCATATTCCAATTTAAATTTGATAATATTTTAGCTCATTAATCCTGAGGATCAAAAACCTCCTTTTCGTTATGGAACCGTTGAAGGTGGTAATACACATGAAACGATGAAAAGAAATTGGCATCGTATGAATCGTTATGTCACATCGCAAAATTTCTTTCGCGATAATATTTCAAGCGGGATAGCTTCCATCAAAAATGAGTTGTATTTTAAGTCATTTTATTCCTGTATATATTTTTGTAGACTCCTTTCCTTCAAATTAGCATTTCTGATTTGATTCTGGTTTGATCTACCTCTAGACTAAGGTATCTTCATAGGAAAGCCACTTAGGAGGGGATGATTAAGGTTGCAGCTCTTGGCTTCATCAAGATTCATTTCATTTTTAATTACAATTAATAAATCTATTGAGAAATAAATACATGTCAAAAAAAGTGGATATAAAATTGTCGCTGCATGCTATCACTGATAATTTTAGCGGGTAAAGATAATTTGATTATCAATGGGAAACAAAATGAACTTTAACGAGTAATAAATACATAGTGGAAATGCATTTATCTTATATTTATAAAATCGAGGAATGAACGATTTCTAGCTGTCTAATGCAATAATTACCTTCAGAGAGTTGGATGCTTTCATTTATGACGCTGTTGTATTAGATTATCAGGCTGGAAAAGACGCCAACTGTGAACTGATAACAGTTGGAAAATGGGCCACTATGACTGGTTACGGTATGAATAAAATGTGACGGAATTTAGATGTTAAAAAACTACGGATAGTTTTTGTTTTATTGGAGTTTCGGAGATTTTTTAAATGAGCAATTCAAATGAGATTTTGAATTGTAAGTGAATTGCCAGCGAAGCAAATAGGTTATTAATGCAATCACCAATTTCGGAGAGTCTGAAAAGAACTATGAAATTTTCATCAGCACTATGACAAAAGAGCTACACTACCACAATTCTAACATTTTCTAAGCTTAAAAAATTGAATAGTATTAAAATAAAATAAAGAATATAATTATATTTGGTGAAAATTTTATAGGAATCGGCTTTCCAAAAAATTCGCCTCATCTACAAAAAGTAAACCAATATATGCTCCAATACCAACAAAAAGGTCGTGATACATTTCGATTATTTTTTTATTCCGATTATCTTTTCCATTTCGGCTAAATTTTAGGAGACTTGGAACGCTTACAAAACTTCTGGATGACTGGTGGTTGTTTGCCAGATTCAAATAGCCAAACACGGAGCACTCCTCTTGGCGTCGAAAATTTTATGAGCGCATTCTTCTTGCTAATTGCTGGAATTGTTTGTTAAATCATTTTATAATTCGAATAAAAACCTTTTTTTTTTCATGCAGTATGAATGAAGGAATTAAATATAATATTAATTGTAGATAATAGGTATAACAGTTTTGGTATGCGAATATTTCTTCATCTACCAACTTCGTAAACCTCTTCAACGAATTGATCGAAAAGGATGGTGTGGAATAATTAGTATGGTAATTTTTTCGTTTCTAAGAGCGCTCATCATTTTGCTTCATCGCCTAGTCGAACCAAATGAGTTTTGCTAGAGAGACACTTGACGACGGAAGTACGGAAGCAATTATCCGAATTTTTAAAATAAAAGTTTTTATTCTTCCCTGGATTCGTTAGAGTTCGAAGATGATAAAGTCGATATATTACGAAAATCGAGTTTCCATGTTTCAATTTGATTTTATAAGGTAATACGAATATTTTAATAATTGATTAAATGTGGCTCTTATTGATTGTAGGCAATTTAACTCTCTAATCGCTCTCAGTTTCAAAGATGTTTCAGGAAATGGCAAAATCAATTACTTTTCCGGAAGCTGTGAATCGCGTCACAGAATGGCGACAGCGCAATTTGTCACTTGCACCATCTTCCGCTAATACTACACCAATGAAGAATATTAAAAAATGCACCGCCGCCTATACGTAGTAAATTATTTTATTTATTTGCATAATATATCTTAGAGTTAGATCTGAGAAAATGTGTACAGTATTGTATTAAAGAAATTAATTAATTCAGCCAAAAAAAAAGAAGTTCAGCTAAGAAAAGCAATTGAAAATTATAAGAATTTTGAAAATCAAATTAAATTAAGTTTATTTTTTGAAATTTCAGCTATGATTTTCCTCGCGAATCAACTAAGAAGAGAGACGTCGCTTATAATACGATGCGAAATTTATCGACACCAATTCTATTTCCACAGGAATCTTCATTGTAATTTCTCGTAAAAACTAAGCAATATTACGCATTCCTAAAATGCTTTCCTCTTTGTTGCTTTTGAATGATAAAATTTTTTGAAACATGAAATTTTTTTTCTCTGTAGAATTTCTTTTCTTTTTTTTCAAATTAACCATGAATTTAATATTTTATTTATAAAATTATTTGCTCGTTTTTTTTTTAATTTTCTATAATTTTTATTAAAGATTCAGAAAATGCCAACTTATTTTTATAATTAAAATCGCCAATTAAAAGTCAACTTGAAATGAAATGAAATGATAACAACTGCACAACTAACTTTTTATCACAACACCAAATAAAATATAATAAATTAAAAAAGGAAAAAAATTAAACTAATTCGGCCAATTATAACGCTATTAATTCATGATTTAACTAAAAATTAAGCAGTTCATTCAAAAAATATTTAATATGAATCGGAGAATTGTTTAAAATTCTTTGTGGACATGACGACAAGCAAGCGACAAGAATATTGATATTATTATTATCATTATTATGGAGATAAGGCTAAAATCATAGAGAATAAAACAACGACCACAGCACTCAGTACAACCAGTATTAAATCTTCGACGCTCCATAATACATTCTCGGAAAGGAGAAAAGATTATTTATGGAATATAAAAGAGGAAAAAAATAAGAGTGGACGAGGACTATAGAAGGACTAATTCCATAGAAAGAAAGGAATTTCACTACTTTTGTGAAATACTTCTTTCAACCATAAAATGATTGCTTTTTTCTAAACGAAAAACAAAAAAAAAAAGAGTGGAGCTTCAAAATAAACTTTATCAGGTGCGAACCTTATAAAGAAAATAAAAATATCAAGTTGATGCTCGAAGGTCTTCGCATCAACGACCCCTACGCAATACATTCATTCGAGAATTATAAATTATAACTATAAATAATATGAAAAAATTATGAAGCAACTCGAAATAATAATTTAAAATTTTCTATAAAATTTTTAAAAAATTTTAAATTGATATATGAAAATGATTCGATTAAAGTTTTTTATTTTTCTAAGCGAACTAATTAGAAAGAATTTCGATATTTCATCCCAATATGATTATTTTTTCATATTTAAAAGATCGATGCGAAAATAAGATTAGCTTATTTCCTTTAAAATTAAAATTAATCATACCTAAGACATAACTAATAATCTCGATGAATATATTTCATAAATCAGCATAAGGCACCATGTGACGCTGTGGATCGTTGTGGCTCAAGACCAAGCAAAAAAAAGCACAGTACTGAAGGACACTGTACAAGGACCGCTAACACTAAATGAAAACAAAACTAACAAATAATTACGACAGTGAAAAAAAAAAAAAAAAACTGATGCGAAAATAAAAATAGAAATGAAATTTATAAAAAGTAAAAATGATTTTTTAATAAATCACAGGAATTGGATAATTTGCACCATTAGATTCAAATAAATATAAAATTTAGGCGAATATACTTTTTAGGCATTCAACTAGGCTAAAACTGAAGAAACAGAATCTACAAAAGGCATAAAATACTCTCTCTATTAAAAAAAAAAATTTATGAAGGGATGAAAACCAGTGTAATGCAATGAATTGAAAAAATAGGCCTTTAAAGACATATAGAAAAATGAAAGCTTATTATTCAGAAGGACATATAAAACACTAATAAATATCAAGCAACAAGCAATTAATTTTAACCGATCACATTTTGTCGATTAAAAATTTCTAAAACAATTTTTTTTATCAAATATATTCAATACTCAATAAAAATAATAAATGTTAATAAAATATCTCTCCTTAACTATTCGAAATTTTTGAAAAAATTTGCATTAGGAAAATTTCGAATTGCTTTCTCAATAAATCGACTTTTTTGCGAAAAATATCATCTATTTTTCTATATTTATATATTTAATATTAATAAATATAATAAAAATACAGAAAAAAAATCATTTTCACTTATAAAAAAAAGCAATTAAAAACAATAGCAATAGTTCGAAAATTGAAGCTGACAGAAATAATTATGCAATGATTATGTATGAAATGAAATATAAGAAATATAAAAAAATTTCATGAAATAAAAACAAACGTTTGAAAGAATGAAGCGAACTTTAATTAAGCTCTACAAAATTTCGTTTAAACAGATTATATCTGTTTAAAAACCATTTTAGTGAAAATAAACGAAGATAGCGAATAAATAATAGATGATGCACTCCCTTTTAACTGATTACTGGTTAATGGTTCATTTCATTCGACTTGCTTGAAGCTGAAAAAAAAGAAAAAATTTATTAAATTTATAGTCAAATAGTAATAATTTTATATGGTTTAAGCTTAAATTAATAAATACTTATTAATATTAATATTTTTATAGATTCTCCAAAATGATAAAATTTTGTTTTTTATCTGATAAAAATTGATTAAACTTCACTCGTAAAATATAAATTTCAAGTAAAAAAAAGAAAGAAATATGAATTATCAATGACTCGAAGCGCATATATTATTTTTTCATAAAGCTTTTTCATTCAACTAAAAATAATCAAAAATTTTAATCAAAATTTCTTTTCTTTTAGCAGAAAACAACAGAATTAATCCTTCTTATAAGGCAAGATAAACTGTTTTCAGCTATATGAAAACTCATCGAAAAATTGTTTAGCAATACGATTCCACAAGCAATTCAACAATGGTAATATTATATGAATTGGCTTATATAATCTAGCATAACTATTAAATATTATCATTAAGCAAAATTATAAGCTCAATAAACAGTTGATTAATATGCCACTCAAATTTCGCTAAGCAAATTGCACTTTTTTGAAACTCGGTAATCAAAATTTTTTATCAACAAATGAAGAGAATCCACAAGAAAAATATATGTCTGAGTGAAAAATATTTTAATGCGTTAACATGCACCCAATTTTTGAAATTTTTAATAATTACATGCTCAATATTAATCTAACGGAGGAAAGAAAAAAAATACAAATTCAATAATTCTCAGAAATTAAATAAAATGAATTCAATTAGAAGAAAATGAGACAAAGAAGGATATTATCCCAAATCATGAATAATTATACTTTTCTTTCTTCCATATAGAAGTAAAAATAAAATTTAGCGTGTAAACGAATAAATAAATTTGATGGGATAACGAATTTCAAAATGAATAGTTTTGTTCATATCGCAGCCTTACCATGGTAACATCTTTATGCAAATAGATAACTTAGGATACCTTCAAATCTGCTAATTAAAATAATAAAGTGAAAAAATATACTAACTTTTATGATATCCTAAACAAGTCTTCGAGGTGCTTTACTGGTAACACCAACATTTAACCACAGTTCACGTTTACCTTCCACCTTTTTAACACAACGAAAAAAACAACTAATTAACAATCTTTCATGTTCACTTATGCAAATTATGATAATCGTGGGGATGGTATTCGAAAATAAAGCAAAAGGAACAGTTATTCTCCACCTCAGAAATAACACTAGTGCTTGCCAATATGCAAAATAAATGTGTTCATAAAAAGCGATACAAAAACAACACAAACCGAAAATGATCGTAGCAATGTACTGATTATTGCGATGTTGGCTGTGGTTGCTGTTGCTGTTGTTGCGGTTGTTGCTGTTGTTGCTGCAAACCAAGAGCGTTGAATAAACGATATTTGAGACCGCTTGATGATTGTGACGTTGTCATACGACTCGTCGTCGAAGTTTGCATTTGTGATGCAACCATATCGTCTCCAGCACCCGCAATCATAGATGATGATGACGACGTCTGAGCTACTATTGCCGGATCATGCTGCAATACAAACATGTGAAGCACAAAGCAGGCAAAAATATCACTAATTATATCACTGATTAAAATACAAAATAAGCGACAATAATTGAATGAAAGAAAAAGGAAAAAAAAAATATGATAATACATCACCAAAAAAAAAATTTATCACCAGGCGAGATAATAGATTATTCTCGGCGTTTTGCAAGATTTGGCTATAATTTTTTATATATTAAAAAAAAACCCCCAACAATCAAACGATATAAAACTGTCCCAACCCCAAATAATTTTTTTTTCTTGTTTTCACAGCTGAAAAAAAAAATCCCAAAAAAAATAGCAACTTAAATCGGTTCGCATGCAAGATAAAAATTTTAAATTATTCATTTAATAAAAAATCACGGTGTTTTAAGAACAAAAAAATAAAATTGTGCCATTCTAAATGTTTTATTTTATTTTACCAACCATTTATTAGATTTAATGTGTTGAAATATTAAATAATCAAAGACGTGCAGAAGTGGACAATACTTTTAATAGAATGAAACTATTTTTGGTTTTTAATTAGCTTCACTGAATCTTTTGCGAAAAATTCCTTCGAGCATATGGCTCTTTAACCATTTAAATTTCATTTCCTAACAAAATAAATGGTGAACGTTATTAAAGAAGTAATTTTTGCAAGTAATTTTAAAATTTTACGGCAATTATAGTGGTATATTGCTCCGATTGAGACTGATATTAGGCATTATGGACGATTAATGCCTTTTGACGGAAATAAGGCTATGTTTCTAAAATTGAAATCCAAGCGATGCTGCAGATCTACTTATACTTCTTTTCCCAAGTCTATCTGATTATCTGACGAAGGTCTTGTCATATTCCAATACAGTCAAACTAGAAATGGTGAAAATTTTTTAAGATACTTCTCATTTATGAACTTATTTTTCAAAGCAAAAAATTCTATATTTTGTTCACTTCTGTATGTATATATTCCTAAGAAAATAATCAAGAGATTCTTTACTTCGATATTCGAAAAACTAATAATGAAAATAAATTTTCCACTGCATCGTAATAGAAAAGCTAAGAGCGATGCATTCCTTTTTATAATTCAACCAATAAATATCGAATTAGGTGAAAATTTTTTTATTATCGGTGAGAAAGGTGAAATTTACACCACAAATAAAGGAAGAAAAAAAATATGCCAAAGTGTTTTAAAAAAAAATAAAAATAATTGGAAAGCAAGACCACACATGATGATGCGATAATATTTTCAACAAATATTATACTCGGCGATTCTCTGAATAATTGAAGATGAACCTTAGTTTTATTCGACACAAAATAACTGAAGACACAACACTTCAACTAAAAACCTATTATTATCTCGAAAATGAAAGAACGCATGAAGCGTTAGTAATAGTTAAAATATTATTTCATTCCATTTCATTCACATAATTTTTTTCTATCAATAAAAATATTTTTTATAAAGAATTAAGTAGCTATTAACCAACGAATAACTCGTAACTCAAATATTTTATTCATCTATTTAAATGATGATGAAAAAACATTTCCTGAAACATTTCTTAAGAAATCGAAGAAAAAACTTAAGGTGAAAATTCAAAGGAAACCATAGAAACTGCTGCTAGGAGTACTATAAACAAATTTTCTAACCATAATGCTCATCGTGTTCTCTACATCCTATCTAAACTTAACTTTATGATGAAAAATTATCCCTTTTTCTAACACCAAATCAAGTATTCCACCGACTAATAAAATGTGATTCCTCACATACGAGGATGAATGTATCATCAGTGGCCGTATTTTCAATAGGTTTATATCTCTTTTCACTTATCAAGAAACAAATCGAATCCATGCTACTTTGCCCTTAATCAAAGTGTTTCAAATTTCTTGCTCACAAAAATCTCACTTTTCAATAGCATTAAAAATTGTTCCAATTACAGATCTAATTGGCAAATGAAACCGATTCTATCAAACGACACCAAAATCAAGATGAAGTGTTACCAAGTAAGGTAAAAAAGCAAAGAAAAAGTCAAAAATTGCACCCAAATCATGTGAAAATTCGAAGTGATATAAGTAAAATATAGAATTCAATTGTGTGGCATTGCATATGGAAAAAACTATGGTGAAAACCCAAAGAAAAAAAAAAGAGTGGTGATATATTCCCCGTCAATCATCACCAACCTTAATACCCTCATTTGAGTTTGACCGATTTTGTTGTTCGTTGAGCAACTGAACTATCTTCGCCCGGTCAACTGTATCCAAACACTACAAAAATGTACAAAAATTCGTTAATTATCTGCATAGATCTCAATCAATATTGTTCAAATGCCATAGCTAAAAATTTTCAAAAAGAAAATCAACAAAAAAATGTAAAAAATTTAAGGAAAGAAATAATTTCAAGAAAAATGGACAATCTTTATCTATGAAAATAAATTTTTTCAGTTAATTTAAAAGAAAAGAAAACAAAATTAAAAAATGACTTCCCACTAATCGGTCAGAGATATTTGGCAGAAATTTCATCCCAGAACCTAGAAATTCAATGATACAAGCGCTAATCATATATTTTATATACCACTTGTATGGGGGATAGAATGAGTCAGTGGGTTGTTGCTCAACTGGAAGCGATGATGCTGGCATTCAATACCTCGCAGGAGTAAACCTGTATAAAAATCCTCTCACGCTCGCGACTCATCTGTATTTCTATGGCCAAGGGGCTCCCTGGCATATTGCCCAATTATGACAAGCCAGTGGAGCGAGTTTAACCGGTAATGGTGAGGACTCTTAAAAAAAAAAAACACTTGCATATAAATCATCCATTTTTCCACTAATAGAATAAAAAATTTATTTATAACAGAACAATAAAATTTCCTGCCTCAATCTTAAAAAAAAATTAAAACTAACTTTAGTTCATTTCAACGAAGAAGAAGAAAGGACAAAATGAAAAAAAAATCAAAAAAAAGTGAACTAAATAAGTAAATGAACTAAATGGAATTATATAAAAATGTTTTTACGACGAAAAATACAAACTTCATTTTTTTCCACTTCTGAAAAATAGGCACAATATAAAATAAAATGAATTTCATATGTAATGGAAATTCTGATGCGAACAAAAATTCTAACAAAAAAAAATGACAGCAATTTTATAATTCCATTAAAATTTAATAATTTTGTGTCTTAAAAACGGCTTGCATTCCAAGCTCAAAGCCCTATTTTACTATTCATTTTCATTAAAAAAGCAAAAAGATATAATTTTATAAATAAATTTATCCTTTATTCTCTAAAAATTTTAAAATTTAAAAGATGAAAATAATTAGAATAAATATTATAAATGAATTTATTGAAAAACGATAAAATTCCACAACTATTTCGAGCAAACTTTTGATGTAAATTTTTGCGATAATTCATTATAAAATTTCATAAAATTCAATTCATCAACAACTACTGTAATAAATTACTAAATTATAAAGCAAATTATAAGAAAAAATAAATATTGAAAAAAAATTTTACTTGTTTTTTAGCTCGAAGAGCTGCATCTTCAAGGGTTTCAGCTGCCTCATATTTTCCTTGACGCCGATATAGAGCACCTAAGTTTTTCAGAGTAGTTGTAACCGCTGGGCTAAAAAAAATTTATTTTAAGAAAAAATCTATAAGATTTCTAAAATTTTAATGAATAACTGAAAATTATGTTCAACTTTAATGATAATTTAAATTTGGTTTTAACTTTTCCACACTACTAACATAAAATGAAAAATTAAGAGAAATGCTCAAGGCCAGATATAAAATCCATTGCAAATAAACACTTCAATAACGAACGGTCAATGATAGTTTTAATTAAACTTTGCAGGAAGTATAACCAAACGATTATTATCTCAGATTATCGTATTGAGAAGATAATTATTACTGAAGCAAAAATTAATGCCAAGAAAAGATTATAAGATTATATAAAGATTATCATATTATAATCAGTGCGGGAGATTCTCTTCTAATAGCGCTCATACTTGCTGCATTGGCTCACTTCACTGACGATATACAGTAAAAATATTTTCCCGATACAATTTATCAAAGTAAATGAAACCACTTTTAAAATTTCCTCTGACAGTATCAATTCAGGTTTTGAATGGTCCTTCGTCTTTTTGACGAGATCAAAAAATTAGCGAAGTATACTTTGATTTTTGTGGAGTATGAAGAAGATGGCAAGGCGACGTTTTGTGACAACATTCTTCATGAAAATGGCAAATGCAATCATGTGATACTCTGTTCCTTTCACAGAGTATAGGAAGGATGTACCTTAGGCAAGAATGAAGCTTTCTAACAACTTCTACTGTCATAGGCTCTGTTTCGCAACCGTATAGTAATAATGTGTGCATTATAGATAAATAGACTAACTTTCGGTCCAAAGCTAATTTCGCAGCGATTCTAAAGGATCTTCACCAGATCAGATGCGACGACAAAGTCGATGAAGCACACCTTTCCTTAGGAATTGGGAACAGATTTGCAGAGTAACAGAGATTGTTTCGCGCTCGATTAGTGGTTCGCAATTATAATCACATGGCTCTAAATGCGTTACAATCGAATCCAGGACGGTGGATGGCTGCAATTAAATTCCTCTCTCCATCGAGACGGCAATTAAATTTTCATGCTTATCTCAAATCACTCCTCTGACCATTTCTCGAGCCTCGGTATAATTTGCAAGGACGGAATAATTTTCGCCTCATCAAATTCTTATCTCTATATTTAATTTCATATCAGCTAGAACTTTTAGCAGATTTTAGAGGAGTTGTAGATTTCAGGAGACGACGAGACTTCAGCTGGTGGCCATCGATAGTTCTAGAGCTATTGTTCAAATCCTTTAGATGAGCACTTCAGCTTGAAATATGCCAACTATTTCAAAACCTTTTAACTCAAGATAATCAAAAGCTTTTGGACGATGCTGTGTTTTGCGCGTTCAGTTCCATAAGAATATCGGCTTGAAATATGAAGCGGTTTGATCCATGAAAACTGCCAGTTTTGGTTCCCCGTTGCTATCTATACAGAATTCTTTCATCGATAGTTAACCAGAAAATGATTGATCTGACTGGAACTGTCTGGTGAGTTCCATGCAACTAGATGTCTCGCTACTGCAATACAAAGCTTTTCAGCTAAGCAAAAAAAACGCTCACCATTCTCATACGCGGTAGCAAATTTGCCAATCGCTGTAGAAAATAAAGAAAAAACTTCATGACCCATGCGAGCATTCCAATCTTCCGCCATCAGAGAGCTTTTCAGAAGATTATGTTAAGCTTTAAGCTTTGTTCAGAATTTTTACCCAGACCATCTTTGTATAGCGTTGAAGCAAAAATATTGTTAATAGGAATATTGCAAAACTTGCCTTTTAATAGGGAATAAACGTAGGCATAGGGCAACGGGTCATTAATAGAACCCTATATAACTAGTGCCGATCGTGACCTTTCGGACACGAATCCATTTCTCCTTATGTTGTCCGCAATACCATTATGATATAGCCAGTGGTACTTATTTATCCCTAAATCTCTATCTTGAACCAGGTATAGTCACTGCACTGGGCACAGAATTAATAAGGCGAACTTCTGACAAACGATATCTACATGATATTTGGATAAGACGTGGAATGCTATCGCATTACTCCTGATTTAAATAAGCACCGTTACACAACCAGAACTTCCCCGTATGAACACAGAGCTGGCTGATATTTATTCGACTTCGTTAACTGGATCAAAGCAATTCTCAGAATTCGACACTTGATATTAGTTTGCCTTAAATTTAATTGAATAATTAAATTTCCCTACTTCCAAACTCGGTTCGTACCAGGTTAGGGATTATCATGCATATCGGGATATATGGACTTAATCCTTTCGAAACATGTCCACCTGGGGGCAAAAGTAAAGAAATACAAGTGGGTCTCGACAGCCACCCTGGTTCTAATTTACTGACAAATTACTCCTATCTGAACAAAGAATTGTGCTGATTACGAAATTATTAAGGAAGGTTAGAAAAGTTAGTAAGAATAAATAAATTTAAAAAAAAAAAAACTAAAATTTAAAAATAAACTAAAAGTACAGGGAAGCCCCGATCGATTGAATCAATAACAATACTGACGAGAGAGCGCGATGATGGACTCAACTGCTCTCAACTCTCGACAAAAAAAGAAGTTGGTGCAATTAGTGAGAAATTTTATTACACCAACAGGTTACAGGTTACAGGTTTATTGGTTATAGAAAAGCTTTCATCAATGCTTCATACGACTCAAATTTTATTATCAAATTATGATAAAATGAGTATTGTATAAAGAATAATATCACGCCATCCTCTAAAATCTTTAATTTGCCAAATTTTTAAACAATGCCTTATTACAATTAACTAATATTCAGTGATATAGAGATTATATATAGACTAACAAATTAAGCCTGTAAATAACAAAGGAAATAAAAGAAAAAATGAAAGATGTGTTAGTGAAAGAAAATATAGAACGGCTCGCTCGCAGTAGTACGGGTTGCAGGAAAGTATTGAGGAAATGCAAAGAGCTTTAGGAATTATAATGGGCTTTCGAAAATTAATCGAAATACAATGAGTTGTAATAACAGAACTACCAAAACCGAGCTTTACAAAAAGATTAAAAATTCAAAAGCAGGCATAAATTAAAATTTTCACATTATTATAGATTTCTATCAAATAAGTGACAATAAGCAGAGGTCAAATCTACAGCCTATGCATTCAAGTAATAATAGATCGCGTTAATGAAATTATAAAGATTTCTAAATGAGTATACGCGAATACCAAATTAAAATGAGATTTGAGGCTTCAAAGGAGAATAAAGTGGCTTGAGCAATTTAAAAGTAGCAAAGTCTGAAAAAGTGCTAACACAGTGCAAATAAGTGCGATTTCCCAGTCTTCCGTGGAATTTTGCGAAAAGACAAGAAGACAAACTAACATGGCAAATTATCACAAAGTTTTCGTCTAGTTTTTGAGAAATCCTAGTATAATAGGCATTACCTGTCGACTTTTGCAGCTTTATGCCAACCTCCGTACTCTTGATAGGTGCTTGAGTCCAAGCCCTTATGCTTTTTTTCCTCATTATCTTCAGCGATTTGCCAAATTGCTTTGTTATCATCACCAATCTTACCAAACTCCCTTTCGTGAGCCCGTGTCAAAATTTGTTTATACAAAATTTCCGCATCCTTGAAAATTAGGCGATAAAATATGATTTAAAACACGTCAAAATCACTTGAAAACAAAACAGCCACTTAAGGTCAGAAGGCTTATGATCCAACAAAAAGGATAGCGAAGAAAAGACAATTTGTTTTATATAGGAAAAGTGGAAAAAAAACCTTGTATTTCCCTTGTTTAAGAAAAGCAGATGACAGATTATTCTTAGTTTTTGCAACATTTGGATCATCCGGTCCAAGTTTAGCTTCATATATCTCCAATGCTCTTCTGTAATACCGTTCAACTTCATCATATTTACCTTGATTTTGACAGAGAAGTGCAAGATTGTTTAGTTGTTTCGCCACGTCGGGATGATCCGTGCCTAATACCTAAAAAACTTTATATCTAATGTTTAAAAAACCAAAATGAATAAAGCAAATTATTTTAAATTTATTTAAGAAAAAAGGTAAGAAATGGCAATACAAAAAAAAACGTAATTCAAACCATGTTTTAAGTCAATATCAAATAGTGAATTTGCAATAAAAACAAAAATGCTGAAACCTTTTCCCTAATTTCAAGTGCACGTTTGCACAAAGGCTCGGCATCCTTATATTTGCCTCGCTTTCCATATAAAACAGCAAGGTTATTGAGAGTAGCAGCTACTGCTGGATGGCTCTCACCGAGGCACTTTTCGCGAATATGCAAAGCCTCGTTTAATAAGTTGGCTGCTTCTTTATATTTGTTTTGATCACTAAAAACATGGAATATGATTAAAAAAATAAAGAAGCAGAACATTTTCTTATTATATTATTTCAACAATGCATTTTCAACTGTTTTTTAAGGATACTAACAGAAACCCTTTTAAAATGAAAATGGTGAGAAAAACCCAACCGATAGACAAGGGCAAGTATATTCAACATCGTTGCAACATCTGGGTGATCGTGACCACTAGTTTTTTCGAGATCCTCCAGAGCTTGTTTACAAAGAGGAACAGCAACTTCATATCGACCTTGCGAAGCATACTGGATGACTAAATTATGTAAGGTACGCAATCTAGCGGGTATTTCATAGCCTGCTGATGCACTAGCAGCCATTGAATGGGCAGGTGTAGGATGATTAAACTGACCAGCAATATTCCCTGAAAAACTTTTAAAATGGTTATAGAAGCAGACATAAAACAACAACAAACTTTCATAGTTTTTTTTTCCTTAAAATAAAGATTCTTTAAGAAAAAAATTAAAAGCGAACCGGCCATTTCCTCATCTTCTTCTGGTCCAAATCCAAGATCTTGCAAAGTATGTTCACTTGATCGTAGTTCAGCATGATCAATATTTCTGTCACTTTCCTGAAATTTAACAAACAATTTTTGAGATAGTTTTTTTTTCATAATTTGGTGAACATAATTTGAAATACTTAATGCTAGTGAAGTCCAGAAATTCAAAATAAAATTTTTAACAAAAGAAATTTTTGATAATGTGCAATAAAAGATTGCCTATTACTCAAAACAAAATATATATTAAAAGAACCTGAGGATCATCATATTTTTTTATTGAATTCATGTATTCTAGATGTTTCTTCTCCTCCTCAAGTTGTGCCACTTGCTGCAAAAGAACATAATAAATAAAAGAAAATTTGCAGCAAGAAAAAATTTTTTCGAATTAAACTAAGAAAATGACCAATTTAGCAAATAACAAAAGATGAAATCAGAAAAATATAAATTTAAAAATATTAAATAATTTTATTGAATATAAATAATTTATAATAATAATTTATAAATAATTAAATAATTTTATTCAATATAAATAAAGTGATTGAAACAAATATATTTTCAAAACCTGGGAACATAACTAACAACCAAAATGAAAATTTTTATATTCCAAAAAAATTTTCCACATCATTATAATTTCGAATAAGTTTTTAAAATCAAATTGCAATGTTTAGAAGCAACTTTACCTGGCCACTGGCTTGTAATTTTTGTTGAGTGGAGTTTAATTCATCCCGCAACCATGCATTTTCCTGACACAAACGACGTACCTGCGCCTTTAACTTTTGCTTCTCTGCTTCCACGGTTTGTAGATGTCCAGCAAGTGCCATCATTACCTTAATTAGAAAACAATCTGGACAGCGTAAATAAAAATGAATCACTTAAATATAAACTGAGACTGAAGTAGATATGACAAATATCCGCTATAATTTACCTGAGCTTCTTCAATGCCAAGTCGCAATAAATCCAAATTTTTTTCAACAATATGTGCCTTTTCCTCGATTAATGCAGATTCATCTGCACTAAGTCCTTGCATACTGTTCACTAATGTACCCTAAACACAAAATTTGAAAAAAAAAACATTGCTTCCACTATTCTATGAATAGTTTTCAATTATAAAAATAAAAAATTTTCAGATATAAGAATAAAAAATAGCACTGGGAAAAAGTCTAAGAAATTAAGTAAAAAAATTAAAAAATTTAAATTTAAATTTTCATTCACTTTAATCGACTCGTGTTCATCTTTAAGCGCTTCTAATCCTTGCACAACTGTGCGCGTATTTTGCAAAATTTCATCTTGCGATAAAGCTGTCATTCTTCCGATGTCTTCGATTTTTCTTCTAAAAAAAACAAAACCAATTATGTGGCAAATCAAATGAGATCTTTACATGTAATTTTCTATTTCACTTGAATTTTTCTAATGGATGCTAAACTCCTAATAAAGATTTTAAAAATTGTTATAAATATTAAATGTTATAAATGTTAAAAATAATAAAAATTAGAATCTTGCTAGCAGAAAAAAAAAAATAATTCGATTCACCGTCCATAGCCATCAAAAGTAAATCGGGTCTCAAGATAGTAAGTAAAGCTTTAAGTAACTTTCGAAGGAAAAACAAAAATAAGCTTTCGACAAAGACATTTATAAATGATGGGATAGCACACGAAAAATTTGTTTCAAAGAACTACATTAATCTCCTTCTTATTGCTATTAATTTATTTTCTCGACATTTATTTATTGCTATTAGTCATATTATCATTGTTACGATTTTTCTTAATATTACTATTACTGCTATTATTGTTACTACTATTAACATTATTATTAATATTATAATTGTTATCATCATTGTCAATATCATTATTGTTATTATCATTAATATTGCTTCTTATTATTATAGTTATCAACAGTTATTTCCCACTATTAATAACATTATTACAATTATTACAAATCTTTTTTATTATTATTTTTATTACTATTATTATTATCATTAATAATAGTCGTAATAATTATTATTATTGTAATTAATTTTATTTATTATAATTATTACTAAGGGTATTATCAACCACTGATGATAAGAGTATTATTAATCAATATTATCATTATTCTTATTATTATTACTACTATTATTATTATCACTATTACCATTGCCATTACTATTAATATTTATAATTTTATATTTTATTTATTACAACAAATACTATAACCACAACACCAGTCATTAATAATTTCTTCATTACTATTTTTATTATTACTGCTACGAATTCCAAGCAAGAACAGCCACTTCCACAACTCAACTCAAAAAAACAACTGGGTTAATCAATATGCATAAGATTCTAGTTGACGACAGCATCATGCAAAAAAAAAACAGAAAATGATACACGTTTTCGTAAGAAGAGACAACTTTTAGATATTCGAACTGCAGCAGCACTAAATTCCCATTCCAGGCTCACTGCAATGATTTTCTAACTGTCTATATTAATGCGAGAGTGAGATCTTTGGCCAGGTGACCATTTTGAATTACAAATACAAATGGGTCCCTAGTATCATTAGGATTTTCAACATGCCTTTGAAACATGCCTTTCGATCATCCAAATTATTTGTTTATAAAAAAATTTATATTATGGAACTTACCTGAAAATGAAATGTTATTAAATGAGAAAATTAATGATAATCAAAAAATGGTGATAAATTTTTTGTAAAAAAATTCCTTTAAACTTTATTATTGATAAAACCTATAATATGATAAACTTATTCCATTTTATTATTTATTATTTGCTTTTAGCAATCGCCAAATAGTCAAAAGTCGATAAGTCAATATAGAGAATTATTGAGGAATTGAGGATGAATCCATTCCCAAAATAACATTCTCTACACCATAAATCTGGCGCATAAAAACACGATAATTAATTCTTCGAGACACTTCTCGGCTAAGCGGTCAGCATATTTACTAGAGATCGACTTTATTTTTTCTTTCCTTTCTCCTTTTCTCTCCTTCTTTCTTTTCCTATTGCCATAAAGAACCTCTATATTCTACGCTATTGCGATGCACATTTAATTTATCCATAGCTAATCTCTTCATCATTCAATAAGTAATATTCGCAGATATCAGTATAACCGAAAAATATTCATGCTTTCTCCAACCATCTTCATGAAATTTAAAGAGGAAGAAAAAGCAAAAAAAAGGTGAAATGCGAGGAAAATAGGCGAGAAAAATGAAAAAAATCTATGGCTTAGTCAATAAATGCCTTATTTCGGATTGGAAAGAGAGTGCGAATATAGGAAAATGAGGACAATCGCGATTTGCTATTGGCCTTTGGTGATTGTTGTTGATATTGTTTCGGATAACTGATAAATTACACATCTTTATAACAGAAAAATATAAATTGTATATTTTAATAATAGAGAAAATGGACTATCGTAATTTTATATTTCGTTTAATATTGGATAAAATTCGTTAATAGTGCATAGTCTCTAATTTAATAATAAATTTTATTAGACGAAAAGTAAAATATTTAATTATTTTATTAAAATTAAGTAAAATTAGTGATATTTCATGGAAAAAAACTGATCTTTTTAAAGCAACAAAATATTTATGCAATTAAATCTTTTAGTTACTATTAATTAAAAAATGAAATTTCTAAAAAATTTTTTTGAATTTTTAAATTTTATGAACGAAATTTTCCAAGAAATTTTTAACTGAAATTCGAATAGTATGCCAACTGTTTGGTCTTATAATTTTATAATATTTATAAAACGATTTAAAAAATTCATTATTTTTGGCTAATCTGAATTTGGTTACTCTATTAACTGTCCATAAACGATTAGAAATTTTTGGCAAAATTTTTTAGAATCAATAGAAATGAAAATTGGATGGCTATCACTATGTGGATTTTTAAATGACAAGCTTACTTCTATAGAAAAATAGGTTTTTTCTATGATTCTCAATACGATAGGCTTAGTTACTATCCTTTCTCCCGCATGAAATAGCAATAATTACTGTAACAATTCGTTTTACGATTCAGTAAAAGAAATGAGAACTCAATTCAATGGAATTTATAGCAATATATGAAATACAAAAGTACATTCATACAACTGAATTTAATGCTAATTACTCAACCTTGAACTATCAATTATCAATTTTATGAGGGCATATTTCGTCTTTTTTTGTGAGTTCATAAAAACAAACCATTTTTATAGTTCCACGCTCCTTTTTCATTAGTTTTATAAGTGATGCGATGAATTACTACGAAATCATTCGAATCATTATTTTGAATTAATTTTTAATTTTGTAATAATAAGTATTTATGAAATTGGCCTTTTTTTCGCTATTCAATATTTAAAAGAATATTTCTTTTTTTTTCTTGAAATAAAGCGTTATTTAAAAGCGTTTTTATCTCGGATACGTTTATCATTATCGCTATCAATATAATAAAATTTAAAAAATGGACTGCAGAAAGCTTACATTGATGATAATTTGATAATTTATTGAGAGCTGTTTTTTTTTTCTGCCAATATTCCTACTTAAACATGTTGCACTGATTAATTGGATGAGATTATTATATTAGTGCTAGGATAGAACCCTAGAATCCATTCTCTAGACAAGTATAGTAGAAGTAAACACCAGCATTGGGGCTTTTTTATTGAGTGACAAATGGAAATTTATAGTTATCGATAAGAACATTAGAATTGATAAATTACCGTATTAAGAAGATTTAATACGAGCCACAAAGAAAAAAAAAATAAATTATTGTAATACGAATGAAATTTAAAAAAAGATTGTAATAAAATTGTAAAATATATAAAGAATTATTACCTGTAAATCATTTTTAAAATGCTTGTTGAAGTGAATAAAAAAAAAAAAAAGATTTATAAAGATTGATTTCAGTGAAAAACTGCTTGAAGAAAATAAGAAAAGCAAATAAAAGGATGTTTGGAACTAATTGATATATTGATTAAAGGATGAATGAAATTGCTGAGGCAAATATTCAATAAAAATTGGGCTGCTTTTATAACGTCAATGATTATTTCGAAGTATTCAGAAATTGTCAAATATCCATGAGAAATTCAAAAAAAAAAAAATTAGCATTTATTAATATTTTCAAATCATGCGAGACAACATATTAGTGTAATTTCTCTATTAATGTTCGACTTTCGAATGGATTTTTTGTTTTTATAAAATTTATTGACTTCTACGGCTTTATTTATTTATTATCATAGAAATAGGAAAAAGAAATAATCGAGCGATTGCTGCCTACAATCATGCATTAAGCATTAAGGTTGTGCGTCGCAAAAGAGTAAAATTATCATTAGAAAATTCGGATAGTGCTGAGCCAACTTATATTTCTTATATCCCTCTAGCAAATCTCATTCTTCACTGCGCTAATGACCAATAAGAATAGAATCGCCCGAAAGTAATATGCGCTAACCATTAAATGGTTAATATTTAAATCGTCTCCTGGCTAAACTGATAGCGCTTCCAGAATTTTTACCATGGAACACTCACAAATTACAAAATGATTACGGTGCATTTAGAGTGAATTTGTAGCTATTTGAATTCGAATACGAATAAATACTGTTTCTTAACTGTTTTTTTTTTTTTTTTTAATGCAAAATCAACACAAATACATAAAATTTGCGATAAATTTTTGCGAAACACTTATTCATATTTCGCATTCTGTAGACCACTAAAATAAAAAATTTTTGAAACAAATTTTTCTCACTTTATTAATAATCAAATCACATTTATTTGTTGATATATTTTGGAAATTATTTCTTCTTGTATTTCGTCAAATATTATCGAATTTCATTCATATTTTTAAAAGTTTATTTTAGTTATTTTAGATAAAAAATTATTAATGATTTTTGTTATTTGAATAAAATAACCAAGAAATTAAGCGTATTTTGTTGAATCATTTGGATTTCTTAAAGAATTTATTGATAAAATAAATTTAGGCCTTTCGCATTCATCTTAAATGGAAAATCAATTCATGCATAATCTAATATTTATTGGCAATTTTAGTCTCTTCGAAAGTGATACCACCAATTGAAATTAATTCATTGGAACGTTGTAGGTATATAATTTGAAGTATTTCCTTCTATTTAACTAAAAAAATTTAGAAATTATAAAAAAATTGGCGTAAAAAAATTTTTTTACTGTTTCTAAAAGCTCAATATGAAAATCTATGACGAATTTTCAATTCCATCTCCAATTGGCTTTCAGTAATTGGTTTCCATTTTTTTTTTTGAATAATCCATTGTCTCCATAAAAAAATAAAAATTAGATTTTGATTGATCCTACATAATCAGTGAAAAACTAG